CTCCCGACTCCTTTCCGAGGCACCGCCAGCATTTTTCCTCCCACTGGAGTGAGAGTCCCCATGTGAGGACTCTACTCACGTAAGTTTTCGAACTGTTGGGTTGACAGGAACTGGGGAGGAAACAGGAGCTCACCCTGTTTAACGCAAAGGCTGGACTCGAACCGCTGAAGCGTCGACCATTTCTGGCCGGCAACTTTCAGCGTCATTAAGCCGCTGCGCCACCGCGTCCCCCCATGAGTAAGACTACTTATTAATAAAGTAGAATATTCTTTAGCTGTACCCAAACAGTAAGCTACTGTATTTCTAGTTTTAAGAGGTAATTCCATATGCACTTACATGGAAATAACCCTTACTGAAATCACTGAAGCTTACTTCTGAGTAGCCATATATAGGATTGCACTGTCAGTGTAATAGTTCCTTTAAAAACAAATTGTTTCTATGGCTGTGCTTAGAATATCAGACAATCAATATAATGGTTTATGAATCACCCCATACTGAAGTGAGTATCAGAGAACTGAAGAAGAAACATCCTCCTTTTAAAGAAAGGCTAGTGTTTGGGTCTTCTAACTAGCAAAAAATATCACTAAAAGAGCAAATAACAGCAATTTATGGATTTATATATGGGGGATGGATAGAGAGTTCTCTTTTCCACTCATATTACTAGAACTCAGTGTCATTCATTGATACTGAATGGCACAGGTAGTTCAAGGCAGGCACAAGAGAGTAATTCTTCAAAATATGTATGGAATTCATTGGCACACTATGCAGTGATGGACAGTAGCCTAGGTCACCTTAAGCAAGGATTTGTGAAATTCATAAAGAATAGATCTATTAATGGAACTTCCAGGATCAAAGTCAATATGCCAGAAACTAGTTGCTAGAACTGAACAGAGGGAGGCTGACTGCTGCCTTCAGTTTATTGTGTATGGCTACCTGGAGACATCTGATTTGATTCTGTGGGAAGCAAGATCATAGACTAGCAAAGAGCAAGGCACTTTTATATGGTCTGTTCCATCTGAAAATCCACAAATATAAATTCAAGGACAGGCATCTATGCAAATGCAATGGAAGTAAACCATGCTAATTATCACCCAACATACCAACTGGGCCAATTGAATTGCTCATTGCATATCGCAAAATCTGTTCCTCTTTATTGTATAAGACAAAGACGCTGTCCACTGATAGCTGCTGAGTGGCTGAAGCAGAATGATGTGAATCATCATGGATGCACTCATCAAATGAAATTGTCTGTCGCCACTGATAAGAAACTGTATATGTTGGTGATACTCCATTTCTTTCTGGTTCTGTCACAGTATATTCTCTGGTAGATGATGATGTGATAACTGAAATAATGAAATAAATTAATATTAATAAGTTAGCCACATCTGACTATATTTCATTTAACTGCACACATAACAATAATAAAATATCACAGACAATCTATCTGCTACAACAATGGGGCTGATTCTTGATCATTCGTTCACAGAAGACTCCAAAAGACATCCTCGTCCTACTGAAAGAGGAAATGGGGGTGGGGGAATTATTTATTTTCTCATGCCCCTGCAATCTTTTTGAGTCACATTTCATGCTGCTTCAGAACTATTTTGCTTCTTCAGAACAACTTTCAGGAGTCAAGGGGGAAGGAGGTTAATAACAAAAATTGCTTCACTGTTTCTTTCTCCACTGTAAGTTGAATACTATTTTGGGGGGTCCAATCCATTCCTTCATAAAAGGCTAACGTTTATTTTAACTTTAAAAAAATATTTATGCAATAGCTCAAGCCAAGTCTCACGTAACATCGATCAGCTTGTATCTAATTTATATTCAGTTCTCTTTTATTCAACTAAAGATGTTATTTTTGCAGTGTTGAAAAGTCTAATTTTTTATATTGCACAACTAAAGACTACAGCTGGCTTGCTCAAAATGTTGAATTAGGCTGGAGGAAAGCAGCAAATCTCCTGAGAATTGCTTCAGTAGAATCTTCCTAAAGTGATATAATCTTCATTTCATAACAAATCAGGAAGACATAGTTCCCGTTGTATCACACAATTCAATTTTTGTACCATTTCTTGTTCTATAATCTTAAATTCCATCCATCAGCTAAACTGATTCATTTGAGAGCAAACTCTTAAAGTCTTTGATGAAATGGTAAACAAGACTGAATAGTTAATCAACTGATTATAGGTTTATCAGATCTGGATTACAAAAGTCTGGACAACTGTTAGCTGACAGCCAAGAGGTACACAGAATTCAACACTCTGCTGTCATCTAGTGGTCATCTGGATTTTTGCAGCCCAGATCTGGTCACCCTAGTAGGTCACATCCTCAGTTATCTGAGTACAAAGTGGTAACACTTTAGCATTGAACAATTTCATTACAGAAAGATTTCCCTGGCAAAGCCTTATCAGTACAGCATCTTCCACACAATGGATATTTACATTTAAATATAGCAGGAAGAATATGAAGTGTTCCCTTTATCTGTAATTATAAATGACCGCATAGGGTTTCCTGTAATGTAAGCTGGGGAAGTATAGAATTTGTGGCTCTCCCAAAGCTTTGAGTAAAGTTCTCATAACCTCTCCAAACTGAACCAAATTGAAAGAGTTCATGAGATGGAAAGGGGAAATTATTAAATACAAACTGTTGAAATAAACTGTATTTGGGAAATGTAGTCCTTAGTATGTCACTCAAAAGCTTCAATCAAGATAATCCCTCATTTCAAGCATATGACTGGAAACAAATTTTTTTACGAGAATTCTTTTTACCAAATATAACTTGCTGGCTAAAACACTGCAATAAATGTGACAATTTTAGTTTCTTGCTTCAAATCAAAGATACATGGCTCATGGTGAAATTATAACATGGTGCAGTTGTGCTAGTCTGCAGATACATCACGTATATATGGGGAAAAAGAGAAAACACAATGGGTAAATCTAGAACAAAATACATGTTTAACAGAGTTGACAGAAGCTGACTTACTTACCCCCTTTTCACTCAGCAGCCCCCAAGCTCCCCCAACCCACAACAACTCCACCAAGAGGTAGTAAATTCCTGACAAGTTAAGAAAATCTTTGAATTAAAAATGGTTGCCATTAATCGATTTCAGAGTTACCCCCTTTTTTTAATAGTCCTTAACAGGTTTTTTTGAGGAACCTTTAGGACAAGCTGAAGGGGAAAGGGATGGGAAGTCAGCTTTGAACAACTGTATTTTGCATATGTTGATTTGGGTTCCAGCCATTTAATGTCAATCAGTTTCCTTAAATGGTGTGATATACCTCCTTTAGTTTTTTGGGGTTTTTTTTAAGTTCTAGCCTGGAGAGACCAGAGACTGAATAGATGCTTTCATCCTACCTTATTAGATTTGGCTGCAGCCTTTCCAAGCAATAAGCCTGCAAATGTATTTAACTTACCAGAACTAGAAGAGTGATAGAGCTCAGTGTAGGGTTCTATATGTACAGATGAGCCAAATGGGATCTCAGGCACTTTGCCTTCAAGTTCTGTGCTGATTGTAAGATGCCCATGTTCATCAATCCCACTGAACTTCTGCTTAATGATCAGCTTTTCATTGTTGCTGAGGAATGTAACTTCTGCTTGCCTTGTAAACTCACCACCTAGAAGATTAATTACATTATTTTTATTTATGTGTTGAAATAGCCACCCTCTACACTGAAATATTAACAGGCTTGGTTCACATAACCAGTTAAACCTTAAGTGGATTGCTTGCTTGGCTTAGTGTTATGTATAAACACAGCCAACTGTGGCTTTGTCAACAAGCTATGGTATAAAATAATTATGTCTGAATTTTAAGACAAAATTGTTTTAACAATTGTTTAAATAAACCATGTTTTAATATGATGTATGGACTCAGACTCTGCCGACATAACCCATGGTCTACTTTTCCTGCTCATCCTTGAAGCCTAAAATCTCTCTTTCTGCTTCTGGTGTCTTCTTGCTTTTACTTTTTAAAGGCAAGTCTCCTTCACCCTCACAAGTATTAATAGAATGTGGGAAAATGATGCAAAAATAGACAGTACATTATGTTACGGTTTTGCTTCTTGTCTTCTGCTGAAAATAGTTATAATGACCTTACAAAGCCTCCTTCCTGGGAATGTAGAATTTATATTCATAACAAATCTTAAAACATATAACACATTGTTTTAAGAACAAATGTTAAAAATTACCAGTAACACTGAATCCATTTTGGTAACCTTCCTGCTCCACGGCAAACATCCATCCAATGATCCCACCAATGGATGCAAGAGGAAGCAAGGAGAAACCCAAACTTTCTGGAATTGTGCTAATGGCCGTGTATGCACGCCCATGGTTCATCACAACGTAAGAGTGAAGGTCAGTGTTCTCAAATACAACTGGTACTGGATTGTTTCCCACAAAGATTCGTCCTTTGACTTTTCCGTTGACTCGCTGAGGAGAACCTTGCAAAATAAAACAGTAAAATGTAAAATAAATTCCTAACATAGCTTGACATATACATTCAAAGTCTAGAGCTTCCCACGTGACATGATGTACTAACAGGCCCTGTACTTCAAACATCTTCTACCTCACTCCTTTCTGTCTTGAAACAGTAGAAAATTCTTTCTGTAAGAACTTTATAACAGACGGGTTTTTCAGTTCTTTCTTTCCAACTCTTTTTCCTGGAGGCCTAACCAGGCTGAGTTTTGGTGTTTCTACAACATGGATGATTAGAGTTAGCTGCAAGATTGGATCCACTTTAGGCTAAATCTAACCCCTCAGAGTTAGTTGATTGGATCAACCAAACTCTTTTTGGTTTTCGCACCCCAATTATTAAAATGAAATGCTGAATTCACAAAATAATCCATATGAACAAAATTAAGTAGCTTTTCATAGGGTAAGTACAGATTTATTACAAATATCAAAGGAAAAAAGCACTTCCATTTCTCATATCACACTATGCATGCTATCAGAACTCAGACAATACCCAAGATTGTGATCTAGATGGAGAACACTGATCACAGTATGAAATCATGGTTTGTTTAAATTAATTGATCTTAGGTATGACACCCCTTGGCATTCAAACTTGGCCCATTTGTTAATCACTAGATTCCTTTATATCTTAACAGCTACCAGCAGTTGTACTCATTCACCCTAATTTTATTTTTGTAATTTGTGTCTTGTATTAGAGCTTCTACTTTTATAAAACTGTATAAAACATTTGCTATTTAATCATATTATTTAAACCTACTGAAATGCATGTCACTTTATCCAATATTTTACTACTTAAGAATTCCCAAATTAATTAAAAACAACATTGGTTCTAACAAACAGCTCTTGCAATTTGGAATATACCATTTAATTTATTTGTTTCTAAGATTCAACAGAATTAACCTGTGAACTAGCTGTGTGATTAATTATGGGATCTACTTGGTCATCAAATTTCTTACAGTTTCTGTTCCTGTAGTATTGTAGATCTTGGTTAACCAATTAGCAATTTGTTTTCTTTTAATAGACATTTAAGAACGCTGGATATAGTACAATGCCTAGCCTGCTCCAAGGGAGTAACATTTACATTCACCAAAGAAAAGAGATTTCACAATACTGTGCTATATTTTAGATATTTAGCTTGGAAACAACTTTCTAAACAACAACTTACCTTCAGCTACACATTGCCTGCCATTCCCTTTGTAGCCAACAATACAACTGCAACAAAAGCCATTTGGGTAGTCTTTGCAAACAGCATGAACTGAACACTGATGGCGGTTGTTTGCACAGCTTTGCTGGACATCTGTATTGTAACGGAACACTGTAGATAGGAAAAAAGAAAATACAAAGATTTCTGTGAAGGACTGGTAAGGCTCACAGAGAATTTTAAGCCAGTTGTGGTGCATTTCATCTCCCCGTTTGTCCACAGCTGTAAAATGGACAGAATGAAAGACAACATAATACAGGAATACCGTTCTTATTGTAGGAGTGATGTCTCCTGCATTTCTGTTGCCGCATTTAGTTCTCTGGTACCCAAACCTCTGCTGGTTGTGAAATAGAATAGGAATTCAGTCTAGTAGAGCCAGAAAGGAAGGATTGATGGCAGGATCCAACTCCAATTTTATGATTTCCTGATGGCAAGATGCTTTTTCAACCCTGGCACCAGGGACGTGGCTTTCTCTTGCATTGTTCCCAGACTGCGGAATGTCCTCTCTCAGGAGCAGCATTTGGCCTCCATTCTCCAAGCATTTAAAAATGTTTTGCCATGCTTTCAATTGTTAGGTGGTGTTGGTATTTATTTAATTATAAATTTTAATCTTCACTATTGCCTTCATTGAGCAAGGAGGAATACATTCAAAATTACAGGACATACTGTATGTTTGACAAGAGTACATCCCTATGACCTGCCCAACTCTGATGTTCATGTCAGAATTGTTTCAATGGACTTCGACAATGCAAGTTGTTCACAGTGCATTACTGAGTATTCCAGCTCCCTCCCTTCAGTTAGGTAACAATTTTCTCTATCCAATACAAGAATAACAAAGCTTTTATCAGCGCTATAAAGTAGACTGGACTAAGAAACCAAAACCATGTAGGTTAGGACTACTTTTATTGTAACAGCTACAGTAACATAATCTTACAAGTCTGAATGTGCTTTCCCTTTCCTCACTTTATCTTTGTGTGAATTAGGGAGGGGCCTGTCTGAAACATTTATTCAAACTAGATTCTTGGAATGGACTCAAGCTTGTCTGATCATTGCCTTGGTAGCAGTTTTTCCTCCTGTCCTTCAAGGCCATTCACTATGCCCTCTACAACTTTTGAACTTGCACTGTTGGGAGAAGGGTTATTTTCTTAGGCAGTTTAGGGCCATAAGAGGTAAGTCGATGACAATGTGGCATCATATAAACAGGCAGGGCCAACTCCTAGTGTTTAGGAGGATGAATTCAGCCTTTGAATTTCAGGTTGCCTCTCCTAGCCTAATTAGTAAATGCATAATAAAGGCAACTCACATAGGAGAGTTGTTTTGTTCATCAACACCCAAACGAGGACTTCTTTATATGATACAAAGTTAGCGTGTTTTCAAGTGTAAGAAATGTGCTGTGGAATCTTTAACACTTCCTATGCCCGTATTTACTAGGGCATATTTAGAAATGGGGAGATTCCTTCATATCTGTTGTTCATCATACAATGACGCTGAAAGTTGCCGGCCAGAAATGGTCGACGCTTCAGCGGTTCGAGTCCAGCCTTCGCGTTAAACAGGGTGA